TCACTGAGGCAAGCAAGCCTCATGTTAGTTTCAAGCTGCCTGGCTGCCGGCCGCCATCTTGGCTGAGAGTTAATTTGCATATCTCGCTGATTAGCCAATGAAAAGGGTAGCGGTCGTACGCCAATTACCATGTTTCTCTTTTATTAGTTTAGATATTTGTAAAATGACCTTGTCTTTAGACTCACACCTTAGCACTTGTTTGTATCTTATTAATATAAAAAATTATAAGGGTTTGACCTGGAAACTTTCACTAATTATGGAAAGAAAGGCACCTATTTAATGAAAAATTGCTTTCGCAGAATCAGCTATCATATTAGTAACAAACTATACAAGTTAGTGCCTACACTCAATCATGTGTTTACTATTGTAAAAAGAATGCCTTTTATATCTCTTGCTTTTTATTTTATGTTATTTAAGATTTTGCTGTTACTGATATTGTTTCCAAATGGATCTAAATTGTAACATGAAAGAATATTTTCAAGATTAAAAAAAAGACCTGTTTTGGGAAGGTGTTTTGCATCCTGGAATAGGAGCCCCTTCGCTCTGCAAATGCTTAAAAACTAGAGAAAACTACCACTCAGAGGGTGTTAAGAAACTTTCTTTCCTTGAAACAGAGAAAACAATTATATTATAGTATACCGTATATCCTTTCTATTTTTTAACCAGAAGTTGTCATTTATAGAGGTTTACTTAATCATTATTGAATTCTCTAAAAGGTACTTGAAAATTCAGTTTTTATAAATGATAATTGACATTCAAGGAAACTTGTAGTTCAAGGTTTTTTAAAAATGAATTTGAATAAAAAATAAAATTATTTCACTATTTATGTTTTTAAATATCTGGTTGCCAGTCAACTTTTCTGATAACAAAAACCTAGGGTAGAATGCTATTTTTTCCTCAAAGCTTATATATTTAGCTTCTTGTTTGGATGTGGCCACTAGAGGGCCCCAGTGAGAACTCAGCTCCATCTCTAAGAAAGGTACTTGTCATTTCAAGAATTTAAGACTCCTAGGTACTGATGATGATGGATTCTGATTTCGTTTATTTAAGAGAACTTAACTGAACTTTTGCCAAATATTTTATCATGTTTATCCATATTCCATTGCAGTAGTTGTATTGTGTACTGTTTTATATCCAGATACTCCAGCACTGTCTGAGTGGATTTAGTACCGATGGAACACTGTGCTGTACTTCTGGGCACGTGGATGAACCCATATTGTATACTGCAATTGTATATAATCTGAGGCCCATTTAAGTCCAATTTAAACTCACGTAGAAATTTAATATGACAAAAATGATGAATTCTATAGTTTTTTTTTTTTCTTGTGAAAACAAGGGTATCAGTCTACTGGCCTTTACCATTCTGTGCTTTTGTCTCTTGAGAGCATTGCTAGCCCTCTCTGGTTTCAGGCTTTACCCACATTTCTCTTTCCTCTGACCTTCCTCGCTCGCCCTGATTGCACATTGTATGGCTGAATGCCGGGAAATGGCTTCAGAGCTATTGAAACCAAATCCTCAAATTTTTAATCAAAGGATCAAAATAATCTAGAAATTCTGTGCCTCATCCAGGAAAGGAGAGAGGATGTGACGGGAACACTTAATAGTTACAAAACTGGTTCACATTTAATGAGTGCTTTCTATGTGCCAGGCACTGTGCTTAGCACTTTACTATATTATCTCGTTTAAACCTCACAGTGACTGTAAGAATGTTAGTAATGTTATTATTATTCGGTTTTATTGATGAGAAAACGGAGACTTGGAGAAATTAAGCAACAAGCATTTAAATCCACGTGATTCTGAATTACTGAACCAGGACTCTTCCAGTGTCAAAGGAGAGAGAAGTTTTCAGAGACAGCTCTGGGGCTGTCATTATTTACGAAAGCAATTCTTCATCTACTTCCCCCT